GCCCACAGCACCCAGTGCCCACAGCACCCGGTGCCCACAGCACCCAGCGCCCACAGCACCCGGCGCCGAGCACACGCTTATTTCATTTTCTATTTAATTTTTAAAATATATCTTTTTATTGATGTCAGAGAGGAAGGGAGAGGGAGAGAGCGATAGAAACATCGGTGATGAGAGGGAATCATTGGCTGCCTCCTGCACGCCCCCCACTGGGGATGGAGCCCGCAACCCGGGCCTGTGCCCTGACCAGGTATTGAACCCTGACCTCCTGGTTCCTAGGTTGACGCTCAACCACTGAGCCACCCCGGCCGGCCACACATTTATTTCAGTGCCCACTGGGCAGTCAGCAGGGCAGCTCCCACCTCCCACCCCACAGGCTCGGGCATACTGCCCCCACCCCTCCCTACCACACGCCGACCACAGTCTGTCCCCTGCACCGACCCTCGGCTGCAGCTGGGGGTGCCGACACCTCCTGGGACTTGCTGGGGGGGCTCACGGGACTCGGGGAACGCTTGAGCGACTGGAGCGCTGGCCTATTGTCACACATAAAGCCCAGGACCAGCCAGGCGGAGGAGAGGCTCAGGACAAGGGGGGGCCCTGCCCCCAGGGCCACGCCCCCACATCTCCCGTGGTCCCCAGCCAGGAGCCCCCCGAGCCTGTCCTTTGGGGTGCAGCTGCTTTCCACAGTCGTGGCTGATGGAATCGCTGGCCATTGGTCACTGAACTCACCTCCACCCTCGGCCCTCCTCAGGGAGGAGGCGGGACAACGGCCCTGGGTTTGCTCCCTTCACAACCAACCCCCATCCTGAGGGCTTTCCACGCCCCTCACCATGCCCAGGGGGTGGAAAGGGGCTTGTGAGGGAAACTGAGACACGTTGTCACTCAGGAAATTCCGGGGGTTTTAGGAGCTGGGAGCCAGAAACTTGAAGAAAGTGCCTGGCCAGTGTGGCTCAGTGGGGTGGGGGTTCGATGCCTGGACAGGGCACAGGCCCGGGTTGTGGGCTCAGTCCCCAGTGAGGGGCGTGCAGAGGCAGCCGATCCATGACTCTCTCCTATCATTGATTTTCCATCTCTCTCTCTCCTCTCCCTTCTTCTCTGAAATCAATAAAAAAAAAAATTAAAAACAAAAGAGCGATGGGGAGAAGGCCACACGTGCAGGTGGGCAAAGGGAGTACTCGACACACAGAGTTTATTTGTATTATTATTAACTAGTGGCCCGTGCACGGATTTCGTGCACATTAACAGGGAATTAATTCGAGGGAATATTTTAATGTCGCTATTTGCCCTTTCTCTATAATAGAAGTGTCAGCGATGAAAGAAAATTGGTAAAATGTATATGAACTTCTTCCTCCTGTCAGTCAAGTCCCCGCCCACCCACGTGCACCTCGAAATCGAAATCGCTGGAGACCCAGGCCCAGCCGGCCCCACCCCCGTCAAGCCCCACAGGGTGGGGGGCGTGGCCTCAGGTCACCTGGCCCAGCGCCAGGGCGGGGGGTGCACCTTGAGGTCCCCCGTCCAGCCCTGCTAGGCGGGGGCGCAGCCTCAGGTCCCTGCCTCCGCTGTGGGTGCAGCCATCGTGACCGTTACGGAATGACGGTAAATTTGCACGTTCCCTCTCTATCAGATAAGATTATTGTGTTGTTTATGTATGAACATCTGCAAAGCCCCTCATATTTCTTTTTTCTTTTCTTTTTTTAAAGAAAAAGGTAAAGAACAGGAGAAAGAGCCACTCTTTTAAGGTTCTGTTTCTCCAGTTGCTCCCCGTTCCCACCGACCCCTCTGTCATCCCTCTGCCCTGTTTGTCTTGGACCCTCAGTGAGAGGCTCCACGTAGAAGGAGGACCATGGGGAGGGGCATCGCACCGTTTATTTCTCTTAGACACACTGGGCTTTGAGCACACGACAGGCCCTGTCGAGTGGGTGCAGTCCGTGGGGAGGCGCAGGTGCAGGGAAAACTTCAGAGAAAAGCACAGTGAACTCCGAGTGTTCCGGAAGAACTGCCGTAAGAAATCCGAGATCAGGACGAGATAAGTCGTCAATATACCCACAGCTCTCCCATGTGCTCTCTTGATGTCCCGCCATCTGTTAATGGAGATAAACATGTGCACGTGGCTGTGCCGGGGGAGGCGAGAGCAGGATGCAGGTGCGACAACTCGTCCGAGAGGGTTTTGGGCCTGAGTCTGAGGCACAGCCGTTCCGTTAGCTTTGCGGAGAGGAAATCTGAGAGGATGAGGTCAGAGGAAGGGGATGGAAGACATGCCCACGGTGCAACTTCTTCCCTCAGTGAGGCACCCGCTCTCGGGAAAAGGACCGCTAAGCCCAGACTTCCTTCGGGACCGAGGCCGACCAGACGCCTTCTAGCCCACAGGGAGTTCCCCTGTGATTCCTTCAGAGTCTGAGAAGGCTTCCCAGGAGCTAGGCACCATATCCTATTCCCTGTCTCTTCTCCCCAATTTCCTCGGGGGAATATTTCTGAATATCAGAGACATGGAGAGAAATGACATATCTCCTTTTCTCTCTCCTCCTGTAGGGATTCCACAGTGAACGACAGGGCCCTGTCGAACTCTCTCTCTCTCAGGGATCAACCAGAGGCACATGTGAGGGCCTCAGCTCTCTCACCTCAACAAGTGGTCTTAGTTGAATCCACCAGAAAAAAGAGGTGATTGAAACCTTCTACATTAGGCCCTAAAAAAAAGGGAGGTTGAGGGGTGCAGGTTGGTTTGGCTCAGTGGATAGAGAATTGGCCTGGGGTTTGACGAGCTGAGGTTCGAATGCAGCGAAGGACAGAGAGAGAGAGGGGCGCTGCCTCCTTTCTCCCTCCTCCCCAGAGGCGAGGGAGCACCCCCGCTCGTATTTCTGGCTGCGGGTTGCAGCACCGCCTCTCCCTCTGGCCGTGCTCCCCCCGCCCTGCCCCCCACTGTCTCTTGCTTTCCGGCTGGTCTTTGCCCGCCTGTGCCAGCTGCGCCAGCCTCAGGTGCAGCAGCTTTGCCCCGCTGAGCCCCGCCCGCCCGGCTCGCTCCTGCGAGACCAGAAAATAAATGGAACGAATGGCTTCCAGCTGGCGTAACGGTTTCCCGGGACGAGGTCAGACTGTAGGGACACACGTTCGTCATCCAGGCCCAGGAAAGGGGCCACATGGGGCATTGGTGGAGTGACTGGGCGTGGGAAGAACGGAGAAAAGTCAGCCCTGTGGTCGGAGACTGAGCCCTCAACCTGCCCCGGCCCCCGTCCTGTGCCCCTCCTCCGCCTGGCTGGTCGGGTCACGGGCTGGCCCTCTCCAGGCGGGAGCAGAGCCCTATCACAGCCGC